TAGTAGATTCATTCTGCCAATGTAAAGCTCTCAGATGAGGGGTTAATGCAGGAAATCTCCACCGATTGGCTGAGACAGAAGCCTGCGTAGCTCTGTAGCTTAAAGCCAAGTAGCTACAACGATGCTAATGCTGCGTTTGAGTTACCTCAGAAGTTAAATGTCCGAGCGGGGAACCTGAGCTACCAGCGTTTCAGTTACCAAGTCGGAAAAAGCGAAACCGGAAGCGGAAACAGGATGGCTACATCTACGAAAGTTATTTTAGCGCTTGCCTCATCGGAGGTGCGCCGCCGCTGCTGAAGTACATGCGCCGCTACTGAAATTTCACATGATCATTTGCACCACTAATGGCTTACACTCACACTGTGTGAGCAGAGCAACACACGACGTTATTTTCGACTTGTTTTGAGTCATCAATGAGCGCATCAAATCCTGTTTGACCCTCTTCCATTGACGTGAAAGTTAACGTTCAAGCTTATACGCGATCTATTGCTGCATTCCAGTTACCTTGGAAGTCGGATGTCGGAGCCGGGAATGACGCCACACCCGAGTTGGTGGTGTTCCAGTTAGCAAGTCAGAAAACCAAGATGGACGCCTACAGTTAGCTGTTGTTAGCTGTTGCTCAAAATTGTCAGCCGTCACTAGCCGCTGTCAGTCGATATTAGCGGTTGTCAGCTGTTGTTAGCTGTTGTTAGCTACACCATTGGTAAACAACGCATAACACAGTATTTTACTCTTACAAACACCATAGCACCGTGTTCACAGTTAGACGTTGGGAAGCATAACATATACCACTTATTTAATTTTACCAAAACAAGACAGTGATACATTAGCGGGTAATGTAACGTGACGTAACGTGAATGGAACAGCATGATGTACCATCACAAAAATTTGCTAAATATCTCATGAAGGTTGAAAAGTTCCTTCGTGTTGTTTTAAGATGGTCTGCATTTTACATTTCTCAGAGAGATCCTGGGAGGGTTCTTATCTGCCCCAAATATGACAGTCACATGCTCTGTCTGCAGCCTGATGACAGATGACATTTGCAGGACAGTAGCTTGGATACTGCTGGAATGAGCCATCCTGCTTACAAAAGCCCCGGGTAACACACACATACGTACATACACAGCAGTGAGAGCAACACAAAAGGAATCTGTAATTAACCACAACCATGCAGCAGCACTGCACAACGGCTGCTATGTGTATTAACTCACAAACACACACACACACACACAGTCCAAAGAATGGGCCTGTGTGATATCAACAGGATATCCAGCAGTAGTCTGAACTCTGCAGTAGCTTTGTTCCACTAGCATGTGAATAGAAAAGCTATTCATCAAGTGGGACAAATACACACACACTTGTGCACTATTCATGTGTGGAGACAATGACAGATTTCAGTCTCCTCATTAAGTTCCTCAAGCGAGGAGAGAAATTTCTCACTTTGACACATTTTTGAAATACTGTAAAATCACAGCAGATACAGAACTCTCAGAGCCGGTTTGGTTATATTGTCCCTTTCATAAAATCACATCATTTCACCGGATGTTGTGTCCTGAACCGGCTATATTTAAATAACAATGGACTGGCAAATTCAAACGTGTAGGCATGCATCGCTGGCCCACTTTGGAGTTTGACTCGGGGCACTTTTGTTTTGATCTTAAAGAAATTTACGGCACAGTGTAAATATTGCTTTGTGGTCGCCATTGTTCCGGGACCGACAGAAACACGGGGCATTTGACTTTAATTTACTTCCACATGTGGTACAGTATTTATAGAGATGAACTGTTTGTTAGCGCGGCTCAAACTACAGTATGTTTCATGTTTTGTTTCAAGTCTTTTGGTTAGAAAATAAACAAAAAACATTTCTTCACTGTGAGAAAATACTTGGCACAAAAAAAAAGTCATCTGGATGATTTACTGTACGGCCCGACCGATGTGGAATTTTTGGGGCAGATGCTGATACCGATTATAAGGGGTATATATACTATATAGTGTAGATATACTGTAGGCTGCTCTTCACGCCGACAGGAAGACCAACTGATCAAACTCGGACCAGAAAAGCGTTTTCAACCCCCCCCCGATCAGTGCCTCCCTGTCTTAACTCACGTTACTCATTTCTGGTCCGGTCTCATCTGGAGACATGCAGTTACCTCAGAAAGAGAAGTAGCTCGATCACGTAATGTATACCGTTGTTTATTCTACCGTTACTGGCACGGCTAACAGGCTAATAGCAGATGGCTAACTCTAACTTAGCTTAGCTTGCATATTACATGGTGCGTCACCGTTAACTCGGCGTGACCGAGACCAGCACAGCAGGGAACATCGTGAAGTGGGTTGAACTGAAACTTGTTGACTTATTGTGTATTTCACAAACTGGTTTATTTACCGTTGAGGCGGACCACTCTCCTCCATGCGTCCCTGCTGTGCTGTGAGGTAGTTAGCGGATGAAGATTGTCATGAGGTCGCTGTGCCATCTACAGGATAAGTCTGGGAACTTTTCAAATGGCAGAACATTTTCAAAATGAAACCGAATCTTACTCTCTGCATTTTATTTCTGAAAATATCGTCAAAAATCAGCGAGTTTTCATGCGGGCTAAAATTGGCCGATTTAATTGGCTTGCTGATAAATCGGTCGGGCCTTAATTTACTGTTCAACAGGATATTTTCATCAGCCAGAAGAAGAGGTGCAAAAAATTACAAAATCTGAAACTTTCTAGAGAAGAAAGTAACATCATTCTTATAATTACCTGCCAAGTATCTGCTTGATTTTTTTTGTTTTGTTTTTGAGACGATATTGTCCAGATCACTTTCTTGGTCGAGCTCTACAGCTTGAAGAACGTGTAACAGATGTCTTTGGCTGGTTATAGAAATTTGATTTTTCTCCTACCAAAGTTTTACACAGGACAGACGCACCAAGAAAAGTGTCACTATTTGGATCAATAGATTCGATTAAATTTGCTGCCAAATCCCTTTACCTCCCTCAGTAAATTCCTTTAAAACTGACCCGATTTCTGGCAGGCTACACTTTCCCCTCAGCCAAGGACTCTTGTTCTCTGTGCACAGTGATTCCTCTATGAGTGTGTGTGTGTGAGAAAGAGAGAGTTGTGTTTGTGACAAAGGAGAGAAGCTGATACCAAAAAGGTCAATACTGTCAGACTCAAATATCATCACGGTGGTGTCCTGATAGCTTCAGGCTGAAACAGACACAAACTAATAGAAATCGTGTGAGTCTGAGTTTAATACGATCTCCATTTCCCTCGTAATAAAGTCACAACAGCTTGACAGCACTTTTTTAAAGTAGGAAAAAACGGCTCTCCAATTTTCAACACATGATTAGTTTGTCATTTAGCGAGAAGGAAACGCCACTTCAATGGCAACAATACACTCCAGAAGCACAGAAAGTGTCCCGAAAAGAAAGAGCGAGGAAGTACGGATGACTTCTTTCAGGCGTTGTCATGGTGAGTGCAGGCTGGGGGGAAAAGTCGGGGTCAAAGGTCACACTTTGTCCGTCCATCCTGCACAGTCAGCTTCATGAGAGCAGGCAGGGTCAGTGTAAATTGATGCGTTACATATACTGTCTCATCGCTCTTCCTGTGCACACAAAGCCGAGTGTATTGGTGATTAAGGTCAAATCTGGCCCTGAGAACGTAGATCCTGTTACAGACCCTTCCTTCAGCTTCATCATGCGCCTGTAACACGATCCGCCAACATAGATTAGGACAGGAAAAAGCTTTATGATGTCCAGTAACATTAAGTATATAACCTTTAAATCCTTGTCATGCTGTTGGCGCAAGCTGGGACAGTGGGTTAATGTTCACAGGGTAAAGGTGAATCTGTAATCCAGGGGGGGAATTAAACTCAGCCTTTCCAGCCCCTGCATACCAACAATCCAGAAACGGTTTCTTAGATTGTATTATAAGTGCGTACAAAGTCAAAGTTAGTTTTAACGCTCATAATAAAGGTCCATCAGTGTTTCAACAGCGTCAGTTTGAGTTGGCTGCTACGGCAATAACGTCATTTCAAAAATCGAAAGACAGAAGTGAGAGACTGGCAGAGAAATGAGGAGAGGAGAGAAAAAAAAAAAACATCTCAAAGATGAAGTTTAACTCATCAACTTCCAGGAGCTAGTTTGCTTGCTGATTGTATTGTAAATAAATATTTCATCAGTCCGAGCTGCAGCCAAAAGGCTCAGGATGATCTCCAAACTATGGCAAACTCTAAACAAGAGTGTGTCTTCTGCATGTCGTCAGAGCACCGATCAAAAGCAACACTGAAAAACACACAAGCTCGCAGAAGGGCTGCACGGTTTTGGCCAAAAATAATATCCTGGTTTTCTTCTCTGAAAACTCAATTATCAATTTTAATTTCGATTATTTATTCAGTGACAACTTCACCAAACCTCAAACAAAAACAATGAAAACGATGTAGTGCATATGCCAAGCCAGTAAGTGGCGCTGTAACGTTGCCGAGGAAATGCACAAAAGACAGAAGAAGAGTACGGAACATGCTTATAAAGGTTTTTTTGGCCGGGCACATGCAGGCACCATAAAACACTTACGTTGTGTGTCACACAATTGTTTCAAGAGATGCAGATAGACATCCACACGGAGATGAAATGGTAATCGTTTACGGATTCATGCACTCACTGACCCGTTTTAAAAAAGTACAGTTTACAGTCACTCAAAAATGTTTCTGTGTTGATGAAACGCCGATACGACAAAAAACTTTTGCGTCTACTTCTAATTTTCTTTACATGTGGACTAGGGCTGCACAATATATCGTTTGAGCTTCGTCATCACGATGTACGTGTGCGCAATAGTCACATCGCAGAGCCTGCAATGTCAGAGGCGAATGAACTTAGCTAATTTCAAGGGTAGCTGACTGAGATACACTCCATGTGACTCTGTATGTGCTGTGCAGCCATCCACCAATCTCAGACTACCCTGCCAGCCGTCAATCAAAATCAGAGAGGAGGAAACCACGCCCTGCACATGGAATGAGTTGCTGCTTCTGCCGATGTTGTGCCGAGAAACGCGTGCCCGCCGAGATTTACTTTCGTAACATTACTCATCACTGTTTAGCCCAACAAATAAGAACTGTATGGGTTTTAAATTGTACATTTTCGTGGTGCGTGTTTTGCGAGGTGCATGCAACTCTCAGCGGGCATACGTTTCTCGGCACAACACCGCTAACAACAACGATTGCAAAATGAGTGACGAACAAGAGAAAACCACCGAAAAATAAAGACTTGTTGCCAAAAAGAAAAGGAAAGTCAGTTATCTGGAATTATTTCGGTTACAAGAAGGATGATGTCGACCAAACACGTGTTCTGTGTTCATCTGTTGCCACAATAACGTCCCGAACAGACTCCAATTTTGTAACATCGTCAGAATCAAATAATCCGATAACAATTTAAAATCAATAACTTGTACAGCCCAAGCTCACAGGCATACTTACTCAGAAAGAGACGACTTTACTTTACTTTTAGGGGGGGGAAATAGAAGAAACACTGATTTTAACATTAAAATCTCTCAAAGTTTGAGGTGAGTGTTTGCACCTAACTGTCAATAATATCCACATAACTCTTCTTCCTATTCTCAGCATTGTGAGCTAAAAATAGCCTTCGTCCATATGAACTGAAGCCAATTCAAAAGATTTAATGTTACAGTACAAACACACACAAACATACATCTGTGCTCACTCACTGTTTCTACATACCTCTCAATCACATGCTAATTGCCGCCACTTGTGTAAATATTCCTGCTGGTGGGTTAACTACAGGCTGACACACAAACCTCAGGTCCAACAGCTCAGTCATACCCCCCACCAGGTCTGTACCCCAGCCATCCACTGTCAGTCTGATTCCAAACACACGTTACACCACAGAGGCAAAGAAGAGGGAAATTAGGTAATACTGCACTCACAATTTAGTCCTTAAACTCGACACTACTTCTAAATATTTGTGCAGATTTTAAACAGTGAAATAAACTCGATCGCTGTTTGTTTTACAGTGTATTAAGTAATCTTTAAGTCATTTGTTTTAATACAGAGGATCAAACCGAAACGTCTGATTTCAGCGCTTTCATTTACAACTTTGATTTCTCTGACTGTAAATCATAATAACACAAAAACATTTGTGTACACATCCAAAGTGGAGCAGGTTACAAACTCACTTTCGCATTTAACATGATAATGTTGTGAAAACTTTTGTGTGTATGCCAGCAGCAGCTCTGTAGACCGTAAACACTGCTGGACTGTGATGGAACCACCTCACATGTGGGAGCCATGACGGTAAACACAGGGAAACACACACACATATACACACACATAGGGGGACGTACAGGGGCACAGTCAGGACCGCATTTGGAAGCATTTATAAAAGCAAACATAGGCCAACGCATGACACAGCACAGGGGTTGACAAAGCAGACCCAGCATACACACACTCTCTCTCTCTCACACACACACACACACCCTTTGTCTGTCTAAGCAGATGGCTTTCATCACATTTGAACGTGTCAGTGCAGTGAATCAGGGGAACAAGTGTTTGTGTGCATGTGTGTGTTGTATAATGTTTAGTCTAATTAGCCTAAAACAGTCCATACCCTTTTATTTACCCGTTACAGTGGGTCTAATCCTTCATGAAACTAAAAACAGGAGACACACACACACACACACACACACACACACACACAGACTGCCTGCACACACCCCGCTCACATCTTCATTCCTGTTTAATGAGCGTCAAGCTGCCCATCCCGAGGCTGAACCCTATGGAAGGAATTTACAGAAGGACAAAGTAGAAACAAGATGAAATCATCTTCACTAAATCATCCAAATCTCTGAGAGTTCAAATCAAAGACCCTCTGTGTTCGAGACGGTGTTAGCTCGTCTTTGTCCTGGAGCAGCACTTTGCTTGATAGAGACTGACTGAATGGCAGTCAGAGGCCAACAAAGTGACCGACAATAGCCAAATAAAGCCTGGGAACAAAAAGAGCCACACAATGACAAAGTCCAAACTAGAATAAACTGAGAGAGCAGGAAGAGTTGGGGAGGGGGATCATGGAGAAGCAGAAGGAAGAAGGTCGTATAGTTTTAGCTAATGTACATGCACGGTCCGTGATTGTCCTCTATATTTCTTGGAGTCTGGCCTGTATAGCAGGGCTGCGGGGGGCGGAGCTTGGAGTTATGACATAGGAAATCTCACTGTGTCTGTACCTGCTGTTTGAGTCTGTGAGAGGTTCACAGCGATTTAGATGCAGAAATACTTAGAAATGCAATTCCTGTAGCATCAGAAAAAAAGCCATATCAACATGTAGACAACAAAAAAAAAGAAGATTTTCATCGGAGTGGATCTTTAAGGAACACTAAAATTATAAATTTTTCAGAACCACTATACACATCATGTTTCTTCTCATTAAATGACTTAAAGCAGTGGTTCTCAACTGGTCTCACTCCAGGACCCATATTTTCCCATGGTCCTCAAGTTGCGACTCACTTTTATAGAATTCAAACCAATCCAAATTTTTATTAATAAAAAAAAACTTTAAAGACTCTAATCTTTAACCTAAATCCACTTGTTTTATTGAGTAAAGTGCATTTCAAAGCACATGAAGGGGACAACATGAGGGCGACAACTACTGAAGCTTCGTATACAGAAAATATCAGTTAAGTCACCTTATATCTTGACACACAAACTGAATACTGAACCTTTAAACTCTTTCCAGTGTCAGCGGGTAAACTCACAGCACTAACTGTATAATTGACTTTAATGGTTGGCAATTATCTGTGTAACTCTGGAAATAAAATTGGGAAACACTGTACATCATTGAAGCTTTTAAACCCACCCCTTTTGTCCCAGGACACATAACTACGGTATCCTAGCAACAGGTACAAAGAAGCCTAGTCACCACAAAAAGCAGGAAATCCAGGTTTTCTGTTCCTCTGCTCTTTTTACTAAATTTCTACTTCTTTTCTTATTTCATTTTTAATCCAAATCTGAATTATTCTGTTTTTGTTTATTTTAAGTCCCTATCTGCTTCTTCCACCGATACTCCCTCTCTCCCCCTCCTTCTCTTTCTCTCTGTAACCCTCTTTCAACCTCTCTTTCTCTCTCGTTTTTCCCGCTCTCTTTTTGGCAATGCCACGCCTGTTGCTGACACAGCAAACACAGACAACCGGGGAGGTTTTCCTCTCCCTCTCATTTTTTTAAAAACAGAGTCTGTGGGGTGAAATCATCCTGCGGACTGCCTGCTGCTGCAGGAAAAAATCCACAGCAGGAATGTGGGGCAGAGCGGAGGACACGGGGCCAGAAAATGCCAAACTCTGGTCAAAACTGATCTCGTAATTTAAAGGAAAACTCCACGTTTCCCTCCAGTTGTGCAAGTTCTAGAGGAGTAAAGGAAACGCGAATACCACAAGTATCCGAGTGTCCCTTGGATCACTCGCTCAGGGGCTTTTTTGTTGTTAAAATGTACCAACACGGAGAGGTGAGATAAGTCTACACACAGGCCCCACTTTTGTCACTTTGTTTAGCAGATAATAAAGGAAGCAATGAAGCTCTTTTTCTTATCATTTGGAGAAATTGGACTGCTCTTATCACGGTCGACACTCAAACACTTTCTAGTTAGGAACCTCCCGTATGAAACTGTTATTCCATGAACACCACCAAATATTTAAAGCTCCTGTGACAAACGTCCTGTTAATGCCCCCCGTGGAGAAAGTACTACATCCTGTACAAGAGCAAAACAAACAGTCAAATATGTACAACAGTTGTAAACAGTCAAATATGTTGTTCCTTTGACTGTTTACTGTAGAGAAGATTTATTAAAAAGCTTTTCTTCATCATGCTGTCAATCATCTGCATTAAAAACAGCGTAGGCGCTGTCTGCCCTGATGTGGATGATCTCCTGGTGGTCATTCTAAGAGGGTGGGCTAACAAATGTAGTATCTCATGATTCATTTTAAAAAAGCATCATGACAGACATCAAGTTACAGCACAAGACAACAAGATGAAAGGAAACTGTCTTTGCTTGTCCATCTCTCTCCTCTTTGACACCGAGTGCCTGGTTTTCTCTCACAGCCTGGTCTGTCTCTAAGGATACAGTGGCCCTCATCAAGTTGACAGGCATGACAGGCAATGTCAACTCAGCCCAGCAAAAATAGCCATTTCTAATAAGAGTTGTCCCACACTCATGCTTTCCCGTTATGTTTGATAAACGCTTTAATTTTGCCATTACGTCCAAGTCGTGCTCCCTCCAAAAAAACAACATGGGAAACAGAGAAGGGATTTCTTTGCTGCACTTGCTGTTAGTGAGTCCAAGATGACTGTCACTCATTTACACTATGAGAGTGAATGGAAGAGGATGTGACAGTGCCCGAGCTGTAAAACATTGGCCCATCTAAAGACCTCTCATAACATAAGATGTTTTGATACCAATTTTTCCCTCCCAATACAGTTTTCGATACTTGTGTTGTTGGTATCGGCTGATACCGAGTATCGATCCGATATCAGTATGCTTTTAAAAATATATATCATACCAGGCCTGCATGACTGTGATATGATTATCATTGTGGTAAGGTCTGGCTTAGGTCAACCCTTTGTAAAACACAAATAACAGCAAATTCAAGCCATTTATTTTTAGTATAAACATCTGAAAATGCAATTTAACTAAAAGAATCTAGGAATAATTATTTAAAAAAATTAAAGTGCAGCCACAATATTTTTTAAATAAAAAGCAGTAATTTTAAATTTCGCCAACATGACGCTAGTGCTAATTAGCTGCTACTTAGCATAGGCCTAAGCTGCTCCTTAGACGAAGAAACCGGTGAATAGATTACTAATTTAATAAATTACGTAGTATCGGATCGGGGCCTGGACTCCAGTACTCGCCGATACCAATGCTAGCATTTTCTGCAGTATCGGAGCAATTTCTGAGACTGATATCGGAATCAGAACAACTTTACTTTTGGGTTTGTTTGCTACTCTAGTTTTTCACCTAAAATAAAAATAGTTTTTATGTACACGAAGATTTTTTTAAATCTTAATTCAGTTCGTTTACCATTTGAACCAGCTCTCTAAAACTCCTCACAGGAACTTCAAACCCGTCTCACATCTATGCCTCACTTGTCTGAATTATCCCCAGCCCCGTATACTACATGATAATGATTTAGCCTCAGCACAATACAGAAGACATTTGA